AGAACCCTGGGATCATGATCTGAGCTGAAGGCAGAGGCTTTAACCCACTGAGCCACCAGGAGCCCAAAACTTCTGTTTTTTGTTTGTTTGTTTGTTTTTTAAGGTTTTATCTATTTATTTGTCAGAGAGAGAGAGGGAGAGAGCGCAAGCAGGGGGAACAGCAGAGAGGGAGGGAGAAGCAGGCTTCCCGCTGAGCAGGAAGCCTGATGTGGGACTTAATCCTAGAACCCTGGGATCATGATCTGAGCTGAAGGCAGAGGCTTTAACCCACTGAGCCACCAGGAGCCCAAAACTTCTGTTTTTTGTTTGTTTGTTTTTTAAGATTTTATCTATTTATTTGTCAGAGAGAGAGAGGGAGAGAGCGCAAGCAGGGGGAACAGCAGAGGGGGAGGGAGAAGCAGGCTTCCCGCTGAGCAGGAAGCCTGATGTGGGACTTAATCCTAGAACCCTGGGATCATGACGTAAGCTGAAGGCAGACACTTAAAGGTCTGAGCCACCCAGGCATCCCTCTATGGGGAGATTTAAAATCTACTCACGTTAGAGTTTCACCCCAGAGAATCTATTTAACTTGGTTGTAGTCTGGGTTCAAGAGTTTTCAAAACTCATGGGGCGCCTGGGCAGCTGTCAGTTAAGCATCACTCTTGGTTTCAGCTCAGGTCACGATCACAGGATTGTGGGGTCGAGCCCTGCTTCTGGCTCTCCGCTCAGCTGAGAATCTGCTTGACACCTCTGCCCCTCCCCCCACACCCTCTTTTCTCTAAAATGAAATAAATAAAACCTTAACAAAAAAAGTTTCCAAGACTCTGCCGGTGATTCTAATGCACCGCTAAGATGAAGGGCGACTGGAGTAAGGAGAGCAGAGGCAAGATGTGGATTTTGCCCCTTCTTATCCCTCAGCATTTGTACTGCAGAATAACTCGAAAATGGAGCAAAAATCTTGACACACAATGATCATTTCACTGCGATGTTTCAAGAGTTAAGCACTTAAGTCTCACATAGGAAATGTACTTCAGATTTCACAAATTGATGATGAAGATGTTATGTTCCTTGTACAGTGCAGATCAAGCTAATATGCACTCCTAACAAGTGTAGGCACGTATCACAGGCCAAGGACGTTGCTGAGAAAAACTCCTCTCTGTACAGTACTCTACAGGTTAGGAAGGGATAGGAATCACAACATCATGATGACAATGAATACAGGAATAAAAAATAATCCAGGCTGGACAATTATTTAAAGGCTATTGAGAGTTTTTCCAAAATAAACTTCTCAAGTTGCTGAGTATCAAATAATACAGAAGCATAAGAGGTATCATGTTAGACTGTCTTTATGTTCATTTATCTCAACTTCCTTGCTGATTTATTTCAGCTGCTAGATTTAGGTATTTATTTTTGATTCATGGGCGTTCATAGCATTTCCTTTAATTAGAACAGCCATATCTGGGGTGCCTGGGTGTCTCAGTGGGTTAAGCCTCTGCCTTCGGCTCGGGTCATGATCTTGGGGTCCTGGGATCGAACCCCACATTGGGCTGTCTGCTCAGCGGGGAGTCTGCTTCCCCCTCTCTCTCTGCCTGCCTCTCTGCCTACTTGTGATCTCTGTCAAATAAGTAAATAAAATCTTAAAAAAAAAAAAAGAACAGCCATATCTGTGAGTTTTATTACATCATTTCTTTACAAAACTACAAATCACTGACCAGAATATGTCTGCCATTATGATGACTGTATCCAAGGATATTTTCTTGATGTGGTTTTCCAAAAGAACCTAATTTTTGTACTCTTTCTGTCAACACATTCTTGTTAAATTTAATTTTAGGGATCACAGTGAATATATAAAACAAGATAATCTTCAATGTTCAGAAAATGGAGGAATTTCTGAAGATGCATTTCCATATCAGCAGATCATTAGTGAGGAAGCTAGAAATGCATGAGATGTGAAAGGGAAAGTTAGAGATGAAAATGAAGGCGATAAAGATATGGCAAAAATAGAAAAGAAAGTAAATAATTTTGGTAGAGTTAGGCAGAAATGTTCCAGTGATATTTGTTAGAAGTTTTAAAAGCCTTAAAGTTGTTTTTGCTACTGTTGTTTTAAAGGATATTGTTATTTGAGTGAATATATCTCCCTTCTGGAGAGGGAAAAAAACCTGCTAGGATAAAAAGAGCCACAGGAAAAAAACTATTTGCTACCATGACTCAAGAAATTGGAAAATGGAAAACACTGTAATTTAGTGACTATGAAAATGACGAAAATAAATATAGACAAATTTAACAACTCTTCATTTCTAAATACATATCATATACACACACTTATTTCACACATGTTTTTATGCACATGCACATACACACTTACCCCCCCCAACACACACTTATTTAATCACTCCAATAAATAGATTTTGTGTTGTCGATTGGGGGATGGGAGCATGTGCTTTCAAGACAGTAAGATTCAAATAAGTGATTTTGAACAAGTTTCTTAACTTCTTTGGAACTCAATTTAATCACTTACAAAATGCAATAAGTAATAACTTTCTCCTAGTATAGTTTTGAGGATTAAACAAAATGAAGCATGTAGCATGCCTAAAAAAGAGATGAATGTTTTTTGGTATGGATGGTGCTGTCTGAGCGGTTTAGAAACATAGGTGATGTGTTTAAATGGGCCATTCAATCTTGGGTAACCATTTACCATAAATGGAATCAATTTAGCCTGTGATTTAATAGATTCCAAAATAGGAAGTGGTCTTAAATCTGCAGTGCAAGATAGTATATCCCTGCATAAATCATTTAAGAACTTCATAATAAAGCACCGATTAGGACCAGACCAGAAGTATGTTAACCTTGACTCTAATACTCACTAAGTTCAAGTACCTGGTCAAATATCACAGGTTCAGAGATGCCCTTGCTGACTACCATTACTCTATAACTATCACATTGTCACATTCTGTACTTTTCGGAGCCCTTGTCTCTCCCTAATTAAGTTGTTTATTTACTTGCTTATGTTTATTGTCTGTATCTTCAATTAAAGGATAAGCTAGAGGAGATCAGGGACAGTCTGTTCTGTGCATTACCTATACGCCCAGCACTTGAAACATTTCCTGGCATATCCTAAACACATAAAACTATTTCACGAATCAATTAAATTAATGCGGCTTGAACTTTTTAAATCCGAAAGGGTCACTGTCAAACTCCTTGCTGTGAAGGAAAAGATTTATCTACTGAAGATAAGAAATTTTGAGAATATAAAGACATTCATAAGATACTGCTTTGTTTGAAGACTCTTTTATAAAAGAAAGCATTAAAAAAAAAACCAGACGCTTGAATCAAGCTATGTACAGAGAATCTGAGACAGTATTGAGAGGTGTTTACACATCGCTGCCCAGTCTGCAGCCAACCAAGGAGTTCCCATGAAGGTAACAAATCTGTTGCTTTCTTACATATAACACTGAGTGGCTAATCAGCAATTATTTGTTACATTTGGAAATATAGAAACAGAGCACAATAAAAACAACATAATAAAAACATTGTTCCGGTCTAACTATTAACCAAAAGACCAATTGGATAATGTATTGCACCTGGGCAATCTGAGTTAAGCTGGCAGCCTATTTAGGACTGTAACAATTGTTTTGGGAATGATATAAATAAACAGACACATCTAAAGGACATAAAATTGGATTAAAAGCAGCAGTACCATGATACCTTGATCCTGTGATGACAGCTGGCACTTAATTATATCTGGCCAGAATACAATGAAGGGAAAGCTCAGAGACAGATAACAATCTCTCCAATTAAAATGTGCGACCAAAGTGCAACGTGTAAAGCAGTAAGGGCACTGGAGCCCAAATAGGCAGATACACCATTGGAAGAGATTTCCAACATAAAAATTCAGTCTAGGATAACGGGCACTTCAAATTCATGAAGAAAGGCCAGACTTCTCAATAAAGTGAGACACTATGAAGTTAGATCCCTACCTCACACCAAACTTCCTGATTTATACATAAACTTAGATTTAAATGAGATTCCCAGTCCAGAAAGGGAATCTGAGCACACGTGTTCGTCATCTCTCCCTTCTTCAATTTTATTAAAATAATAACAAAGGATTTCTATGTATGTCAATCCCTTAGTGATGAAGAGGGAAAAATATAAGACTATGAGCAGACCAGAAATATCAAGACTGAAGGACTGAAAGTTCTCAAAAAATTGACTGCGGAGGCAGCTGCAGGTGGGGCTGTGGCTGCTGAGGGAGATGACTAATCAAGAGAACCCTGAGAGCCAGAGAACACATTACCAAAAATCTGAAAAATGGATATACTTTGAGTTACCAATTCCACTTCTAAAAATTTATCTTCAGGAATGATCAGTGATGTTTGTATAAATATGTTGAATTCAGTGTTTTTTACAAAAGCAATACTGAAAAACAATCTAATGTCCAATAATAAGGACTGAGTTCATTAAATTACTGAATATCAATACAGTGGCTATTTTAAGAGATAACATAAATCTAATCTGATTGGCAAGCAAAGACTTCTTGTTATACTGTTATATATAGAAAAAAAAACCCAACTCTTTGGCACGGTTTATGATCTAGTGCCTTCCTACATTTCCATTGTCATCCCATGCTATTTCATTCAACTTGATTAGGAGCACTCATAATGGCTCTCTGTCCCTCTTCCCGACAAGCCCTACCACCCAACTGTTCACTAAACTCAGATTAAAATTCATTTCCTTAGAGAGCTTCTTCCCACCCACCACGCTAAGTCCTCGATCCAGGTGTTATCTGTCATCATCTTCTTTCCCTGCCGAGTGCTTCTATAATATTGCTAGTTACATGTTCATTTATGTATCTCTCTCCCCCTCTAGACAGTCAGTTCCACAGTATGGGGTCCATGTCTCTTTTGTTCAATATTATTTTCCCAAACTTAGTGACTTCTCCACCTCAGCCAGTTCCAACTTCTATGTCTCAGTAGCCACTCAGTAAGTACTTATAGAATTAACAACAAAATTGATGATGTGAACAAATGAGTGAAGCTTAAAAATACAATGAAATGGGCATAATATCATGCCAGTATAGTCTGTATCTTTAATACATACACATAGGTATGTAACAGGCAAATCAAATCCCACAGAAATAAAGATGGACACAACTATGCAGAGTGATTACCCACGGACAACAAGTTTGCATGATTTTCTTTTTATATGTGCTTATCTGTATTTCCTAATTGGTACAGAATGAATGAATATATATTAGTTACATAAAAATAATATAAGAAAATAATATTTTATCAAGTAACATCTGCAACCAAAAGAAAGGCACTAAGTACAAAAAGCAGTGAAGAAATCCCCATAGGGACATTTTTGGGGGAGGAAGAGGCTCTAATGTGGTCTGAATCCCATCATCTGAACCCCTGGATTAAACTGACCAGCTATTACTGGGCACTTGAGTGGACACGAGTTTTGAGCCAATCATTCCCCCATCTCTGCTGCACAGAGTTGCAAGCATTGTCTTTCTCAAACAGCTGTGTGTAAGCTAAAGAAGGTGAACGTCTAAGGAGGCTCAAAGGGCTCACCCTCCAGAACAGAGACAACGGTGGTCCTCTGGGAAGGGAGAAATGGCTCACCATGGCTATGGTTACAAAATTTAAGACGTAAAACGATTTACAACCTCGTTATGTTTTGATGATTTGTTCCTTCTGTTTGGGGAAAGCTGAGAGAACATGGTGGTGAGAGAAAAGGTGTGGCCGTGTGCTGGGGGCATGGTCTATCCAGGGCGAGAAAAGCCCCCAAGGATGGTGGGGTGTCTGGGGGCAGTCAGAGCATCTCTGATTCCACGGGACAGGACAACGTGGCAGGGAGACAAGCAGGAAGTCAAAATACTGCAGAATGAAGTAGAAAGGTGACCAGGTCCAGGGGGGTCAGTGGTGAGTCTCTGATGGAGGCCGCGGGGCCAGAACTGAGTCTTGAGCCCAGGGGGAGGGGGCGGTGGCGTCCTCGGACCCTGCAGCCTCAGCGGGCTTCGCTGCACTTCCTGGGGGGGGGCGGGGCCGGGCTCTGCCAAGCCTCGGTCTACAGCTGAAAGCCTGTAAAGGGCTTCCCTAGTGTAGAGGGGAAGGAGTGGGCAGGAAGAAAAGTCCATCTTATCACAGTAAATTATGAAGTGTTATGTTACATTTCAAAACATCGAAAAATAAGAAAATTACAAGAGGCTTCTTAAAGGGGTTGAGCCCTGAGGCAGTGTGCCAGCGATGATGGGGGTGAGTGGTAAAAGAGGGGGAAAGAGGACAAGTCAGGGCGGGAAGGAAACAAAGACGTAAGACAGCAAACCCAGCTATCTGGCCAGAGCTGAATTCACCCAAGATGGTCTCGACCCAGCTTCTAATTCAAGTCCACATGGAGAGATGTTCTTACCTGCCCCCACCCCCCTAGGAGAGCAAGCATTCTGGAAAATTTGGGTGAACTTTTAACAGTTATTTAATATTAATAATTTAATATTATAAAATAATGTTTAATACATCAATAATTTTTTAGGAGTACCTCTCTACAAATCTATAATTTCTTATGCATAGAAGGTGCACAGGCACACACATTCACAAAAAGACACTCATAGACACACACAGACACATGTGCACCCATACATAGATACTCAGGCACGATCACACACAGACACACACACCCGCCCACCTACAGATACACCACGTCACCTTGATACACCAGCAGACACATTCATACACAGGCTCACAGGTACACTGAGCACACACACATACACGTACACACCCATTCACACACATTCACATTCACACTGAAATATACAACAGATTCCCTCCTTACCTGGACTTCAAGGATGTTAACTTTTTCCTTCAGGTTTTCAATTCTCTTATCTTGTTCTTTTAAGTTATTTTTTAATCCTTCCATCTAAGGAAACACAATTGGAAAAATCTTGTCAGACAACAGGGATGTTCCTTAAGTCAGAACCTGCACAAGTTTCTGTAGTCCACTCACATCCATCAAACAAAAAAATTAAATCCCAAAGCATTGGCGGATTCAGCAGGTTATAGAAAATAGAAGGGCAAAGTGGCCCCTGGGGATGAGAGCATGCAGGCAGTCCTAGTAGATGTTGTAATCTTTGGAAAACCTGTTTAAACCAAATTCAGCGGGCATGCCTCCTGTGGAAAGCAGCTCTGGCCGTCCTTCTATGTTTTCAGCATGCAATGAATGCTTTCATACAGCAGATGCAGAGGCTGGAGTCATCCCCCAGCATGGGGAAGCGCCCCAACGCAGAGATCTGGTCAACCGTGGCATAATGAGGTGAGCCTGCTTTGCTGGGGAAGAAAAGCATCTGCTAAAAAGCAACATCGAACTGGGGAGGTAAAGTGATGACCAGAAGATAGTGGAAAGAGAGGAAACCTGTGGATTCTAAGGCTGATTCTGCCATTTCCAGCTCTGTCATTAATCTACTGTGAGCCTCCATTTTCTCCTTTGTAAAACGAGAACGTGGAATGCGCCCTAAGTCCTTCCTGGCTCCCAAGAGCCATGACTCAATTCTCCGGCCTTTTGGTGAGGTCCTAGCCAAATGTTACATTTGTATCAAGAAGGCATTGGAGTTATTCGAAATGATTCCTTTTGGAAACAAATACTCGGTAGTAAAAAAATTAGTGAAGGTCTGATTTTAGGTCTAAAGGACACAGCCCAAACCAGATCAACAGATTTCTTGAAGTAAATCATATGAGTTTACAACCCACCGTCCAGCCGGCTGCCACCACCATGACCTCCTCTCTTTCACCTGCCAGGATGTCCCAGAGAAGAATGGCCAGGCGATAGTGCTGTCCCACACACCTACTAAGTAAATGTACTGTTTGTGAGATTATAAAAACAGATCATTGCTTCCTCAGAAAGGGCTGAATCTTTTAATCTCCAAAATCTTCTAAAGAACAGTGTACATTCTCTGGCTCAGAACACTTAAAAAAAAAAAATCACTAAAACAGCTAAAGAGCAGTTAAATACAATTTTCCAAATATCTTCATTGAGAACACTACAGGTGTTGGCATACAGACTGAAGAAGGCATTGAAAACAGAATCAGGTTGCACAGGAATAAAAAGGAAATGTCAGTGGGGAGAAAAATCTCACTGCTCGGGAAGTCCAGACAAGACGCCTGTATCCAGTCTTCTCCCTGTAAACACACTGTCTACCAGAGAAACACACTTGACTCATCTGACCTCCTGGATGACACCGCGCAGGTTCTGATGTTGGGAATGAATCACAAACTGCAGATGCGAGATCTGCTCCTGGAGAAGGGAAATCTCCATTTGAAGATTGTGGCAACTGGAAACACAAAAGGAAAAAGAGACATAAAGATGTGCTGGAGCCGTTGATTATATCCAGGCTGCCAGGCTCTCCCCATATAGGACCCTGTTACTGGGCATCAAGTGGGAGAGATGCTGGGGGCCCCATGTGCCATGCAAGACACGGAAGATCGGGGCGCCTGGGTGGCTCGGTTGTGAAGCATCTGCCTTCAGCTCAGGTCATGGTCCCAGGGTCCTGGGCTTGAGCCCTGCATCCGGCTCCCTGCTCAGCAGGAAGCCTGCTTCTCCTTCTCCCACTCCCCCTGCTTGTGTTCCCTCTCTCTGTGTCTCCCTCTGTCAAACAAATAAAATCTTAAAAAAAAAAAAAAAAGATGCGGAAGATCAACAGGCACAGAGCAGCCTCTGATGAGCTCAGACAGGTCTTGAATGAGTATACCCATTCATGTCAAAAGCTCCCTCCAGCCCAGCTGTGCCTTCCCTCCTTCCAGGAGAGGCTTGAGTCAAACTGTACTGAGCAGATGAAGCACTCACAGAACTCAACAATCTTGCCTAGAAGCACCCACACCCCCAGCACTCAACAGAATGCCCAGGTAATTACAGAAGGATAGTGGGGCCAGGATGAGGGGGGGCTAGGAACAGAGATTTTACATATAATGGGAAAACAATTTTCAATGATACAGAGTTAATATATGTTGTGGATTGCCTGTGTTTGTCTTTTATGATTATGATTTTGGCTTCCTGCTTTGGGTAATTCTACTATCTCTAACTAGGCATAAAAAAAAAAGGAAAAAAAAGGAAATGAAATGAAATTTTAATTTAATTTAATTTAATTTATTAAATTAAATAAATTTATTTTATAAATAATAAATTTAATATTTAAATATAAATAAATTTTAATTTATTTTATAAAAAAAAATTAAACCAGCTAATGGTTGGAGCTCACATTGACCACGGTGAAAAAAGATAAATGAAGTTTGAATTTAGATTATTCATACTTTCCCGGAACTCCTTTTAGGTAACTGGAATTGATTATACAGCTTTTGATTGGCCAAGATTTTCTTCTTGCCAATACTACTGGAGTTCTGAGGTGGCGTGCATTGTGGCAAGCTCCCCAAACTTGGGAGCGTTGTGACTGGATTCACACAAGCTTCCTCAGCCTCAATGTAACAGATAGAACAATTCTACCTGTATTACTTTACAGGGATATACTGTGGGCTTAAGGAGGTAAGAGAATATGCTTTTGGAAAATAAGCTTTTTTACAGAACAATGTGTTAATATTTCTTTAGCTATTAAGGTTTTAGAATCAGTAGGCAACGTCCAATGCAATTGCAATTCTGATTTTTATAGTCTCTGCAAATATTGCAAAGGCCTTGGCTACTCATGTGACATTACAGAACATGTTCTTATTCGAAAGAAAAGAGAGTCTCATTTTGTTTCACATCATGTACTGAAACACTGCTTCTCAAACTTAATATGCATTGGAGGGTCTTATGAAATCATGAGGGATCTTGTTAAAATGCACAGCTGATCCAGGAGGCTGGGATGGGGCTTAAGATTCTGCATTTCCAATAGGCACCCGGGTGTTGCCAGTGAATACGGTAGCCCGTGCTTTGTGTAGCCCAGCACCGAACCACTAAAGTTGGCTCAATAACATAGGTAATATTCTCTCTCAAAGCCAAGTAATTTGCAGGTAACTTGCAATATTTAAGAAGGTCTTTTAATTTTTTCCCCTCTTTTGGCTTTGCATGACAGAGCTTTAAAAATGGTTTGTTTTACTATAGAAAAAAATTAATCTCTACGAAACCATAGAAATTCTTGCACAACTACATATATTGTATAACAATAACCATTATTATTTACTTACCCTATGGAATGAAATAAGTCATACTATAAAAATACTGTGCAATTACACAGAATATAAGTAAAATGTAGTTCATTATTGTTCATAGCATAAAAATTAGAACACTCTAAATGGTCATCAAATAGAACTAACTAAACGAATTATGCTCTATCTGTACCACTTTGATTGTACATATGCATATATATCACAAGGATAGGCCAACAGACTTGATTTGTATCAAAGATGATTCTGCAGAATGTTATAAAAAAGGATGACCCTTTCAACAAATGGTACTGAGACGACTCTACATTCATCTAAAAGAAAGAATATGAAAATTAATCCTACACTCACCTCATAAGAGAAATAAATTCCATGTAGATTGTAAATAAAGCTGGGGCCCAACAGACTTTCAGAAAATAATGTAAAAGAACATCCTCACAAATGGGCAATAGGTGAAGATTTTTTAACATCGAACTCAAAACAGTATTAAACACAAAGGGAAAGACTGGAGTCATCAAATAAGAGGGAACTGGATAGCCTCAGAACATCGGTAGCTCACATGATTAATAAAGGCATTGTGCCCAGAATATCTAAGGATACATCTACCGATCGATACGACAGATACCCCCGTAGGAAAATTAGAAAGGGACTAGAGATCCCGCACACATACACAAGATGAGTTGAGGACGTACAGATCAGAACAGCAGAGAAAGCAAAGAGAAGTGTGCCCACAGCTGCTGGTGCTGAGACTGCCCCAGGGAGGAGAGAAAGTAGGAGGAGAGCAGTAGGGAGGGGGCAGCCACACTCGAGACTGCCCTGGGAGGTAAGGAGAAAGAACTCAGGATGCCTTGCAGAGGCAAGCTGGCTTTGAATACTCGTAGACTGTTCACGAGCCCATAAGAAAATGAAATTGTTTTAATTTATAAAAATGTTAAAGATGAACATTCCTAATGGTCTTGTTGTGTCCTACGATGACCCAGAACTCAGGCCAGAGGGGAAAAAAAGGTAGCTTTAGAAAGATGGATTGGGGGCGCCTGGCCGGCTCAGTCCTTAAGCCTCTGCCTTCTGCTCAGCTCAGGTCATGATCTCAGGGTCCTGGGATCGAGCCCGTCATCGGGCTCCCTGCTCAGCAAGAAGCCTGCTTCTCACTTTGCCACTCCCCCTGCTTGTGAGCCCTCTCTTGCTGTGTCTCTCTTGGTCAAATAAATAAAGAAAATCTTAAAAAAAAAAAAGATGGGGTAGGTAGATGTTATGCTCCTCAAAATACAGAGCTCTAGATATTTCCCTGCATAGTCTGTGATGGTATGACCATAGAAGTCACTATAGAAAAACAGAAATCTGAAATAGGTCTCAAGATGGAAGAAAATAATTTCTAGAAGCACTCTTGAAAACACGGCTGTCAGACTTATCTGTATTAGTACACTAGAACGGGGACTGGCAGACGTTACAGAGGTTCTCTCCTAGGATTGTTCAATAAATACGAACCTAGTCACCCATTTAAGGTCTTTAAATGTGAGACTATCCTGAAATAAATCACCACTTGAGCTCCCTTCGTCTCTGCTCTTTATCTTTCTGTTAAAGCAACTCTGTCTTAATAAAGAGGTACTAAAGCAAAACCAGCAGGAAGAAAACATTACAAAGGTCAGGCCTAGAAAAGGGCACGGAGCCCTTCTAACAGATGTCTAATTTATGCTCTGCCTCCCAATGTCTCCATATAAATACACAGTACATGCTGAAATCAGAAGAGAATTGAAAATCTTATACTTTGGGAAGACATAGCCATGTTTTTCCTATCCTTCGCATTGAGTACAACCAAAAAACCTAGAGATTATATGCAAACAAACACAAGAAGGCTCTGACAGGTGGAGAGAAGGCAGACCAGTTCAGGACCTTGGAACCCAAGGCACAACACAATGGTGAGTTCCCTGAGTTTTCTTTTTGCCTCATGTACCCCAGACTTGGAGCTGAAAACGTCTATAGTCTGGGAATGCCAAAGAGAGCGAACAAGAAAAGCCCCATCAACAAGAGAGGAAAATCTTGGCCCTATTCAGAGGAAGGGAATCGAGGATCCTCTCTCCATTCGGCACTGAGGGAGAGGGCACAGAGCACCATTTCTGATATTCTTCCTCTGAGATTCCTTAACGCTCAAGAGAGAAAGTCTATCCTATCTTTAACTTGCAAACATGGGAAAACAAATGGCTTAGCCTTTAGTAACATGGGATGATCGTAGCGTAAGTACTTGGCAAGAAACCTACCCTCAATCACTCTGATGACCAATGTCTGCCAAATACTTAGTCAAAGGAAATTGAATTAAGGGAGGGTTCTCTCTCTATCCATTCATCAGGATACTCTAACAATCGATCTTTGGGTAACTTACACCATCAGAGTGCAGCATTATTCACCCACACCATACCTTACCCTCTGCTCTGCGTTGTTTTAATGGCTTTGACTTCATTGTTTTCTGGCATCAGGCTACCCTTTTTTAAAGGATTTTTCTGAGGGACAGCTCCTGTGTTTCTCCAAAAGAGTAACTCTAAAATGGACCTTTGTGTTTGTCCGTGATGTCACAGGACAGAGAGACAAGCTGGGAAACTGCCTTCCGCTCATAGACACTCAGGGAATTAGGAAACCAGTCTGAGGAAAGGCTCCGGAGGTCTCCAGAAATCAAAGAAGGTCAAATCTCTTTTATAGCAAATGAGCACAGACTGCTGTGAGATTTCTGGAGCCCAAACTCCCACCTCTTACAACTTCTGAAAGGCTGTATAATCGCTTCACCATCTAGAAGCTCAGTTTCCTCCCCGAAAAGTTGATGAAAGGATTAAATTCAATAAGGTGCCTGGGGTTACTCCATAAACAGCAAGGCACAATACATGCGTTGGTTAGTAGAGACGGTAGTACAAATACGGATCAACCTCGTTTTTCATGAGATGCTTCTGTCAAGTATCTTAACGGTCGTTAAAAGTAATTGTGGAGATTAGCATAATATAATTATATATTCATATCCATATGCAAAAAAAACTGTCATTTTCTCCTGAATTATAGAACACTTAAAAGTCGTCATTTTTAGAGATGCTTTTTAATATTAGAAATGCCAGGTTAGAACATATTAAATCTTTTCATCAAAATGGCAGAGTCATGGCACCTTTCAAACCCGCCATCTTGCCCAAGGGAAATTTAGTCACCCAGAACCCCCTGCACAGAGGAGCAGCTCCAGGTTATTTTGGGGGTAAGGGAAGTCCACTTGTAGGACCGGGCATTGGTGCCTGCCAAAAGGCCGTTGGTTTGATGAGGATGTAGGAGTCTGGCGAACGCGAGCCAACTGCCCAATATAGGAAGTAGTATTAGGCCCACAGACTCTATCCTCTGCAATTGGAAAAGAAAATGAAGAATATAAGCCAGCTGGAGAAAACCACCGAGAAAAGTTAATAAATCACACAGGAAAAACAAGGAACAAGGAGGAGTGAAACTGTACAAATACACATAACTGAATAGGAACAACAAAATCTTGTGTTTTTTTAAAAACCCATTAGGTGCTGAAGGGTGGTCCTCCTGCCTTCCCACGAGATGCATCTTCTTTATGGCCATATCTGTTCAATCTTCATCTACCCAGGAATCTTCTTATTTGTGGTAGCTTAACCAACTCTCTATTGCTTTAACCAAAAGAGCCTGACTCCTACTGATTCCATTTTCTTGTCACTTCACAAAGTGAATACCTCTACACACAGACAAATAATAAGTAAGATAATATTTGTGATGCCTACAATCTATGAAAATTACATAAGCCTGGATGTTCAAACACCTTTCTAGAAACACAAAACATCCATTTCCCTTAAGACATTTCTAAATCCTCCCTAAGAGCTTTCTGAGAATTCCCTATAACAGCTGCTCATATATAATAGAACAGAAAGAATAGTTCAGTTTGGTTTTTAAAATGGTTACATTTTTGGCTCAAAGACTGACAAAAACCCTATTATCAATAAAAATCACTTTTAAAGAAAAAAAATCAGACTCAGATTGTCTGGGCTTTTGATGGAAAGCATATTGTACCAGCCAGTAGTTCTGCTGCACGGACAGGATGTTTTTCAGAAAGACAAAAAGAAAATACAACATAATCCACAGATTTACTTAGAGTTAAGTTAGGAGTATATGCAAGTGATTCTGAAGACCTATGGGTGTCGTCCACAGTACTTCCTTCATCTTCTACAGAGATGCCCTCTTAGAAAGCCACCTCCTGGGGCTATATGTTTGTTCACAAGGAAGAATGTGGGTAAATGAACATCAGTGGTATTCCAGCATGTTCTGAATATGGAAATGCAATTATTGGGGTCAGCCCAGGTCTGGACTTTGGCATATGTGGTCCACTACATGAACATGACCCAGACAGAAGGCTGAAGCTTTTGAGAGATGAGAAGAGAAAGAGAGATCATTGGAAAGGAAAGAGAAACAGGAAAAAAAAAAATCAAAGACCAAGAGAGAGGGATATTTGAGTATATATGATTGAATAAGTGAGAATACGAATTTGTAATTTCTGAGGCTCATCAGAGTGCTTGATATCCTAGGAAGCAATAGTTCCAGATGGATACAATAAGACCTCAAAATGGGCTTGACTTTGAACATTATATCAGGACCTATAGCAACAGTGCCAGGTTCAGAATGAGAAGGGAAGGGAAGGGGGGGGAGTGAGGACATTTTATATGTGATGAGCCTTACATGATGTTCCACAGAATTTTTCTAAGTGCCGTGAAGTAATCCAACACTTGGGTGGTACCCATGGTCCACGCCCATACTCGGGACTGTAACAGCTTGTAAATTACGAGTATTCGGAAATAAATCCAAAGAACTAAGAATGCATTCAGAGTAGTTCCTTCATACTCTGCAAAGTTGGGGAGCACTGTGAAAGGGTCTGACAGTTCTGTTCGAGGGCTAACCACTTTGCTGCAGGCTACAGCTGAGACCCTTTAACAAAATCAGAAGCATTAGGAGGGAATGAAGCATCCTCTTCAACACCACCGTCAACAGGGAAGGGACAGGCTCATTCATTCTTCAGGAGGATTGACCTTGCCCTAGTTCCCCAGTACCTCCAGGGAACTCTGCCCAGTGGGAGGGAGGGGAGGCATGTGGCTGTTCATATTAAGAAATTTCCCTTTGTCCTGCCCTTTCAGCTCTCCTGTCTCCTTGGAGTGTACTAGCCTGCTGTCCACTGGCCAGTGGACAGCAGAGAGGAAAGGTGTCAGGAACCGCTTTCGTAAGGAGGGAGATTTGCAAACCTTTTAGCATACGTAGCATTGGATTTCAGTTGCAGCAGCTTGTTTTCCAAAGACAGTTTTTTTTCTAGCAGTGTTTTCTTTTCCTAGAAGGAAATAAAATACAATTTTATTTATTTCTGTGCATGTGTGCGTGTGTTTGCTAAGTCACTCTTGCAAACTGTTGGCAAAAAGCACTTCTTACAATATTAGAAAGTATTTTTAAGCTAAAGAGCTCATTTCAGATGGCACTGTTACCATCCACCCCAGGGAGACCCAGCCAGCATCCTCTTGTGTGGTTTCCAAGTAGCTCAGTGACAGGTCAAGACAAGCTGTCCTCACTCCCCTCACTTGCCTGGAGAGGTTTTGCTCCTTGTCCAGCCAACAACGGAAGTATACCTTGCTCAGTCAAACTCCGCCTCTCTCCACCCCACCCAGATCCAAACTGGCAGTTCATCTCTCTAGGCATCCGCTCTCCCTCCTTCCCACCTGCTTCCTCCACATAGACCAAGTCGCTGGTATCGAAGGACACTATTCCCCTACCTGCTCACATGGCATCTGCCAGAAAGTAGAAAAGTAGCAAATGAATTTTTAGTGAAGGAGCAAGGCCACAGGTAATAAAGTCACTTCCTAGTTAGAATAGAAGAGATATTTTGACACGGAAAGAGAAAACCTAAAAAATACCTAAATATCATTATTAAACCAAATTCTTTCCAGTTAAAAGAAAAATAGTAATCCATGAAAAACCAAGCTGGGATGATTGTGGGTGGTTGTTGTTGTTGTTGTTTTTAATATTCGATGGCAAGAGATGTTTTGACACTGTTTACAATACCGTTTAAAACCACTCCTGCTGCAGTATTTATGCGGGTAAATTACGAAATGTGGTGTTATAGAGCGAAAATATGGGAATGACATGGACTGACCTAGTTTTGAAACTGGGACTGTAATAATTTTTGCCAAGGCTTTAACCTCTCTGGGCCTTATGTTTGTTAAGAAAAATTAGCCAAAACTTGGAAATCAAAATCATCTATGAATGTAATGTCCTACTGGGTCACTGTTGAATAACCAATCCTCATGCAGAATGTCTGTGTTTGACTTTATGATTTGATTAGAACCCTGACTCTGTGAAGTTGTATGTTCATTTGTAGATTTCTGCCTGGTAGAAAAGATAATCCCACAGGTTACAGTTTGATTGCCTTCAAAAATATTAACCAGTTTTGTATCTAATCTAGTAATCTGATCCTCTATTTCTTTTTTTAAAATGCCTATACATAGCCAGTTTCTCCAAATCTTCTATTTAAACCGGTTTTACCATCTTACTGCTTCCCTTATTAATGAATGAGTTGAGTAAAACATCTGACATGTATTCATTCTATATGTTTTTAAGTCATGGTCTTTTAAAGTCATGACTTTTCGAACATCCCTAAAATAGGGATAATGCTACCTATATTGAAAGGGTTGGGATGGTTGGAGATACTATATGTGAAAGCCCCACATGCTTTTCTTGTACATAGTAAGACCTCGATTTATAATAATTTGAAGGTGCCAAACACTTCCTGTCTTACGTGCTATCATTTTTTAAGTTTATATTAAATTCTTTCAATTTTTTTCTCTAGCATTCTTGTCACATATAGGAATCTAACTTGTGTTCCCTAGCTGTGTTCAACTTATTTTTGAGGGATCATGGGTATGCCTTGTAAGCTTATTATGATACTTGGATCATCCAAGAAATACATCACTGGTAATATATTTTGACTTTGTAGGGAGGAAAATGGTGTTTAACATCCCTCCTAATGGACTTACTATCCATGAATGGATCTTCATAACCAGGGTTCAAGCAGACTGGACAACTGGACAAGTAAACATTCGACTCTGGCCAAGGTTCCAGCACGGAGCCTGGACTCTTAATGCTTCCTCTCTGACAACACGGACAATCACACAGTGCGTGCTGGCACTTGTTCTCAGGGACAGCGTCTTGTGGAAAAGGAAAGGAGTTCACAGCACCACCCAGTGGGCAAAACACTCTTCCCAAAACTGCCCCTCTGGGGAGCTCAAGCGCTCCCTCCCCTTACTGATCAAAGTGGAGTAGACACCAATTTAAATAATTGCCGTATGTTAACATCTAAATGATTTAGGAACCAAGCATATCATTGTTATCTGATGCCAGAGAAGATGGGGCATCATGGAAAGCATGTTGAACCGGTAACTGGAGGACAGTGGAATCATTCCTGGTTCCCACTATCCTCATTTATAAAATGGTGATGAGGAAACTAGGTGGTCTCAAAAGCACCTCTGAGCTCTAAAATTCTAATAGAGCTAAATCAATGACACTGGAAAACAAATATGAAGCGAAAGAATTGCACTGCTAGCAAAAGGAACATATGCCGTATTAAAACGCTCTTATTGGGCGGTTTTGCTGGCTTATCACTGTGTTTACGGAATTCATTTTCACTGCATTCCTGATTAAAGTGGGACAGATGGTGAAGGTTTTAAGTAATGCGTTCATTACCAGACTTCATACCACTAATGGCTATTTACTGGAGCAGGGCTTGTTCAAGTGAGTAGAAAATGAATCCTTCTCCAGGGGCCACCCACTACCAGGGCAATATTTATCAACTTCTGTGTGGGTGTTCATTTTTAATTTTCATTTTCTTTCTGAACTTCTATCTTTCTCCTACTAAGGCAGAAATCTAGAGTTACCCCTCCTCTCATTCTGATACACACCCCCTACCTGAGGAAACATTCATCACAGCCTTAAAAGTATTCTTGGTATTACCCTAAAATAAGAAGGTATTGCCAAGTTTTGCTCCTTATAGTTTAATTTGTTTATTTGTTTTACAGATACAACATCCCTTTTAAAAAACTCCTGCACAGTGTCCTTCCACCCATTCCCACCTACCTCCACCTCCACCTCCCTGAGGTTCCAATAAGCCCCACTCCAGGAAATTACTGAACTAGAATATTCTGGAAGGTTCCTGCATGGCCATGAACCATGGGCATCCTATCCACTTACTTTGTCACAGAGCACCTAGAGACAGCCCACCATTATGGGTCAATATCAAAATAAAGGCCAAAAAACCCCAAAAACACACAAAAAAGATAAATGCTAAGCTATTTCTTCTCAAAAATGCTTACCAGTATCTAAGCCAGTCAGCTTTATTCTGGGGTACTTTCCCCTACCTTCAGTATGGTTGTTTGCTTCCCTAGGAGAATGAATGAAAAGAAGTAGGAGAAGTTCCTGGAGTACCACGGAACCCAGATATCCTACATTGCAATTTCTACAAAGACACTACACCTGGTCCATTCACAAACAGATACCCAGCCTCTAGCTCTGACTGGTACATGGTAAGTACTTGAGCATTTGTTGAGTAAACAGTCAAGTGACTATAAGCCACAATTCTGAGATGAACTCACATTCAGTACGGACTTCGCAGGATTTCTAAGAAATAGAAATGATACTCCACAGCTGGCTATTATACCTGGCCTATTGTTACTGGGTTTGGGTTGGAGGTGATCACAAGTCTAAATTCAAATAAAAGCTGGTTAATCAGCCCTATTTGCATTCCGGAATTGTCTTCCTTTCCTAAAGGCAAATGTTCTTTGTGCTGAGATTGTGAAACTATTTATTACAGGATAAATATTCTAACACTACAAAGTAGTCATCCAAATGTTACAGTTTGTCCAAAATATCCTAACTATAAACTGTCTGCACTGCAGCAAACCAGCTGCTTAAGGATATTCTAGCCCAGAGATTCTGGGGACAGTAACACATTCAGTGATCCACCACACAACATACACAACATAGAGGTAGCTATATATTATTATTACTAGATTCAGTTAAATTTGGGCTTATTTAATTTTTGTAATTTCCTCATAGGACCTTCATTGGCTCTACAAATTCAACCAAACTCAATGTTACAAATTAAGTGACTGGGAAATATGTAAAAAATTAACCAAATTCCTTTGGCAAGAAACATGAATATTGAAATGTGACGCTTTTGAAGTGACATTTCTCAAATGGCATCAACTCAAGGAGACATAAAGCAGAATAAGGCTGAGAAGGGAAGAGGCAAATCAGGGAATTACTATAATAAATATAAAAATTTATTGACAGGCAGCAGTCAAAGCCTATATTCTTTCTTTAAGATTTTATTTTTAAGTAATCTCCACACCCAATGTGAGACTCGAACTTACAACCCTGAGAATAAGAGTCTCCTGCTCCATTGAATGAGCCAGGCATCCAGGCACCTCCAAAGCCTATATTCTTATCTACCCCAAATTCAGTTTCAGAGAGCCCAGTTTTCTATTAGTTTGTTTTGCCACTAAAACCCCAGTATTCCTTGGTTTGTCTGTATTCTAAATTCTAAGGGATGCGTTATTTAATGGATGGGCTCACCTTTTGCATATATTTGGAGTGTCAGCCCCTCAAAGGCACGCTGCATGAAGTTTTTAAGAATTTTTTGCTCTGTCCCAACTCTTCTCTAAATTGTCTCTTATGGAAGTTCTAATTCCTACAGGAGGTCTTTTCTTTTCTTTCTTTTTTTTTTTAAGATTATATTTATTTATTTGACAGAGAAAGAGAGATCACAAGTAGGCAGAGAGGCAGGCAGAGAGAAAGGGGGAAGCAGGCTCCCCACCGAGCAGGGAGCCTGATGTGGGGGCTCCATCCCAGGACCCTGAGATCATGACCTGAGCTGAAGGCAGAGGCCCAACCCACAGAGCCACCCAGGTGCCCCCAGGATGTCTTTTCTTAATGTGAATTATATCTGTTCTAATGCGCCATAGGTATTCACAACCCTAAAGTGAACTCGGGCAGCCACTGTATGACTACGTCCCTGACCCTAATACATAGGACTGCTGTGATTACAGGGATCCACTATATGATGGCTAGTAATAGGTGGGCTTGTGATGGTTCCCATTGTTTCTACTCGCAGCCTCATCCGCTTCCCCTTTCTAAGGCAGACATGCACTAGAGAAAGTGACAGAGGATGATATGACCGCAGTATTTGTAGAGCAGTCAATCAGTGACTATTCAGATCATTCTAAGTGTGTAAGAGGAGGAACTAACATTATTGAGTACTTCCTGCAGTCTTAGTAGTTGCAAAGAATACTTACTTTCAATTAATATCTCACTTATTCTAGGGGTGCCCGGGTGGCTCATTGGTTGGGCATCCTGCTCTTGATTTTGGCTCAGATCATGATCTCAGGGTCATGAAATCAAGCCCCCTGTTGGGCTCTACAGTTAGCAGAGGGTCTGCTTGAGATTCTCCCTCTCCCTCTCCTTCTGCCCCACCCCTCCCCTCCCACTGCTCGCTTTAGCATACATAATTTCTCTCTAAAATATATATAATTATGGGGCTCTTGGTGGCTCAGTCGTTAAGAGTCTGCCTTTGGCTCAGGTCATGATCCCAGGGTCCTAGGATCGAGCCCCACATCGGGCTCCCTGCTTGGTGGGGAGTCTGCTTCTCCCTCTTCTACTCCCCCTGCTTGTGTTCCCTCTCTCACTGTGTCTCTCTCTGTCAAATAAATTTTAAAAATCTTTAAATATATATATATATAATTATACAAATATATTTAATTATATAAATTTATAAATTATATTTATATACTATATAAATAACATATATAACATACATATAACATATATAACATATATAAATATATATAGATATAACTATAAATGTATATATATGTGTGTGTGTGTGTATATATATGTGTATATGTATTTATTTATTTATTTTATTTTATTTATTTATTTTATTTATTTTAGTGTAACTTTCTTTCATTCTCTCCCTAACCCTATCCAGAAGAAATTCCTTTATATCCCCAGGAGCTCACCTTTTCCATCCTCTCTACAAGGTTTTCCAGCTCTGTGATTTGCTTATGTTTTTCTTCAAGCTTTTCAGCAACTTGATTCAGATTTTCAACATGTTGTTTCAATTGCTGTTCCTTTTCAAGTTTGTTAACCTTTGGTCAGAAAAACAACTGTCAAACTCTTGCTTTTATTAAATTTACACAGATATTTTCTTGCTCTATAATGCTGAGTAGCCAAAAAAAAATTTAATAATTCACACTTGATTGAAATTACCCTTTTGAATTTTGGGTTTCCTTCAAAACAAACCCAATGGGCTACAACAACACTGAAGCCATGTAGAATTAATGAGATATTAGTATTCCTAGAATGGTTACATGTGTTTGTTTTCCCATTGACATGGGGCTAGCTCCCTACCTCCAGTAAGTGTTTACCAGCCTCATGGTTCTTTCTAACTTCTTCAGACTGTGTCTGGTAGATTTCAAATAACCTGTGGGCCACGTTTCTCAGAGCTGCTGCTCCTGCTTGTCTGGAGGCTTCCAGCTGGGAAGAGAGGTCATGAATGTTTTGGCATTTACAGCAAAAATGGGTTAAGGACAGAACAGTTTGATAAGGGGTAGAAAACAGGTTGTAACTGTACCATTTGCACCCTCCTAGACCATAGAGCAGAGAAATGATCTGGTAAGAGGAAAAGGTACAATGAGAAATGCCCTATTTAGGAAAACTGTCGTGCAGAAGGATTTGCATGACGACTGACCAGGCCAATCCACAGCTCCGAGTCAATGCCCTGCGTTTATAAACCGCACCCTTCAAAGACAGCACAGTGCCTTCTCAGCTTATACACTTATTTGCGTTGTATCATTGATATCCGCAACAGTACTAAGAGATGTATTTTCCTAAATTAGCCATGGGACAAGATGTGAAGATTAAGGGCAAGTGTCATGAATTTCTCAAAGGACTTAACCTAAAGAAATAATCAAGAATGGCCACAAAGATTTACCTACAGAGCTATTCATTGCAGGACTGCCTACATAACAAACAAACAAAAAATAAAGCATCCAAGAATAGATTAAATAAAATGATGAGACATTTGACGTTGAGTGCTCTAATTAATATTAATTAAACATGAAAGACTTAAAATTATTTAGTAAGAACAGTTAACTGACCCTCCTAACACATTTTTCAGTGTAAGACATGGCATTAACTATAGGCACAACAAAGATCTCTGGAATGGATTCATCTTGCACAACTGAAACTGTATCCACTGAACTTTTGTAAAATCTTTTCAATAGTAAACATCATCTCCAAAATAAAACAGTGAGATTTTAATTTATGAAATGGAAAATGTTTCTCTATGTAGATGAGCATCCGTGTGGATCTGTGGATGTATAAGGAAGTTTGTCTGCTTTTACACATCCATGAAACTATCTTATTGTTTCAAAAATCCAAAATTAGAAATTTCTCCTAATGGGGCAACTGGGTGGCTCAGTCAGTTAAGCATCCAACTCTTGGTTTTGGCTCAGGTTGTGGTATCAGGGTTGTGAGGTTAAGTCCCACGTCAGGTTCCACATTCAGCAAGGAATCTGCTTGAGAGTGTGTCCTCCCTTTCCTCTTGCCCCTCCTCATTCTCTCCCAAAATAAAAAATAAATAAAATCTAAAAAAAAAAAAAAAAAATTTCTCCTGATAACCATACCTTGATTTTCAATATTTCATTTTCTTTGTTCATTTCTAAGAGCTGCTCTTCCTTTCCTTTCATCCTTTCCATGAGCAGATCTAAATGGCCACAAGAGGGGTCCATTTCAGAATCAGAGCTATTTTCAATGTTTCGACAATGCTGAAATGAAAAACACGAAAATCCTCAATCTGACTATTCCTTTCCTCTACAAATTTGACAACAATTAATTATCACTCACTATTACATATACCAAAAAAGATTCAGCTCAACACAAGGAAAATACTGTATTTTGAATTTCAAATATCAATGGGGAATTCTAGATGAAGTAGCTTCCTCCATATTTGCTCAAAATTGATTAGATTATTATATCAAAAAAAAAAAAAAAAAGGGTAGAGGCACCTGGTGGCTCAGTGGGTTAAAGCCAGGATCTCAGGGTCCTGGGATAGAGCCCCACATTGGGCTCTCTGCTCAGAGGGGAAACTGCTTCCCCCTCTCTCTCTCTGCCTGCCTCTCTGCCTACTGTGATCTCTGTTTGTCAAATAAATAAATAAAATCTTAAAAAAAAAGGTAGTGGTACATATTTTATACTATTATATTTCCTATAATTTATATATACCATTAAGTCCTTTTTAGGAGATAAATAATATCTACTGGACCAATTTTTTTTCCTTTTTTATTTAAATTGCAGACATAAGTACATTTTGATTACATTGTATTATAAACTAATATAATCAGGCTTAATAGTTACCATATGTAATATTCAACATTCAATGATGCTTTGCTGTAATCCCCCCATATAAAATTTCCAGAGATGTCAGAACTGAATGTTATTGCCAGTATAAACTCAGTATAAACTCTAGCCCACTGAAAATACACTTAGAGCATAAGATAATTCTCATCTGGAATCAAGGACATGTGGCAGTGGAAAGGAAATCTGAAATTATCTAATTCAACTACATCCATTTTACAGATATGAAAAGTGAGGCACTGAGCCCAGGTTTATGCAGTAAGTGGGGAGCTCATGAAATAGCCACTCGAGTATCTGTCTTATGCTTTCTGCTCTTCCAAATTATTTCGAGACAGACTAAGGAATTACACAATTCTACATACCCTACGTGAAACAATTAAAAAATAACAGCTTCTCTTTAGGAAGCATCTATCATGTGCCACATAATCTTTCAGATGTTTGATAAACACCGCTTTGTCTGAATACTTAAAACACTAGAAGGCACTATGCCCCTTATACAGAGGAGAAAATTGAAGATGAGAGTATTTCACTAACAAGCCTGAGGTTATACCTAAAATAACTACCAGAACCAGAATTAGAATCCAAATTTGTTTTACAAAGCCAATATTCTTTTCATTACAAAAAATGGACTACGTTTACAGAAAAAAAAAAAAAAGAGAGAGAGAGAGAGAATATACTGCATGTAAATCATATAGTCACTATAATTCCAACAGGGTTTTATTTTCTCTACTCCAGATCCTACTATATACTCTCACTCTCTGTATATAGAAGTTATTTTGTTTTTTAATTTGTTAAAGAATGCTTGATGGAGAGACTTGTAGAAGGCAGGTTGCTGGTAGCAAGAGATAGCTACAAAGGTCATGGATGAGTGCATGTTGAACTTTAACGTGCTTATGAGTCACTTGGTGATAGATCTGGTGAAAACAGAGATTCTGATTCAAGAGGTCTGAGGTGGGGCTCTAGATGTTGCATTTCTTTCTTTCTTTTTTTTTTTTTAAGCCATAGAAGAATATTTGTCGACATGGGAAAATGTGAACAATATAATTCTACATGAAATATGCAGGATATAAAACAATATATCCAGTAATACCATTTATAGAAAGAAAAATAGCCATATATGCAAAATCATGCATAGGAAAAAAAACCCAGAAGGATGTACCTAGCAAATGTTAATAATGATTATCTCCAGAACCTAGCAAATGTTAATAATGATTATCTCCAGAGTAGAATTAGAAGCAATTATACAATTTTTTCCAGTAAATTTCACCTGCCCCCCAAACAGTATCTGCGTTGGGCTATTCTTTCCCAGATGCTGCATTTCTAAAGAGCTCCCTGAAGTATCAGGGACTGCAGCCCAAACCTGGAGAGCAGCAAAGCCCGAGATCATGACGACGAAATTCCTACACGGACGTTGTTCAGATATTGTGGGGGAAGGGGCAGGTACTTGGAGGCTGTTATTTGTCTACCAATCATCTGAGGTTTGAGATGACCAAGGCAGACCCACTAGCTGCACAATTTATCTCTATTCCCAAGAAGCTCCTCCTATCAAGGTCACCAACAACCTCCCCATTGTTGTATACAGTGGTCAAGGTTCACTCCTCAACTTATTTGGCCCATAGGCACCATTTCGCACAGTCGCTCCTCCCCCCATTTCTGAAACCCTTTTTCACTCGTCTTCAGTGACTCCAGTCTCTCCTGGTTTTCTTCTAATTCACTAGCTTCTTTCCGCAGCCTGGCGTGGTGATTCTTCTTTCTCCTAAGTATTGGGTATCTCAGAACTCAGTGCTCAAATATTCTGTCCTTTCTTTTGTTTTTTAAGATTTACTTATTTATTTTTGAGAGAGAGAGAGAGAGAGAGCGAGCGAGCTCCTGTGTGCATGAGTTGGGGGGCGGAGGGAGAGAATCCTCAAGCAGACTCCCCACTGAGCACAGAGCGGAGGCGGGTCTCAATCTTAGGACCCAGAAGATGATGACCTGAGCCAAAACCAAGAGTCACAGATGCTCAGGTGACTGAGCCACCCAGGTGCCCCTGTCATTTCTACTGACACTCATTTGTTTGGTGATCTCCTCCAATTTTGGAACTTTAAACGCTATCCTTATTCCCCAAATCTCTGCCCTATAGCCTGAACCTTCGAGCCCAGACTCTTCAACCCCAGAATCAGACATGCAGGACTCATTAGAAACCTCCACTTAGAGGTCTAATAACTCAATAGAACCAAAATGGAATTTTGTATCTTTCTTACCATTCACAAACATTAACTTTTTTTTTCCCTAGTTTCTGAGCACTTAATATAAGAAAATATTTGGAGCTAGTTGTGTCAGTTTGGGTGAGGATGATAAAGGGAACAATGTTTATGCCTCATATCCTATGTGCTGCATTCTCGGTGGCCATACTATATAGAGGACAACATTGACATTGATGAGGTGCACTTGGCTGAGATGAGCTCTAATCTGCATAAACCAGACAAGGCTACGTGTACATTGCTTGATGTAAAGAATATAAGGCCAGTTGAAGAGGAGAGAGAAATTTAAGTTTATCAATAATCTGATCAATTGACCTAAAATCCTAACAGCTTCAACTCTGTGTCCACTGGTGTGACCCAGATGAGTCTAAAAGGTTGTACCTCCATCCGTCTTTGGGAAACTTCACTGCCATATATCCTGGCTAGGCTGACACTTCCCATATACTTTAGATAAGTAAGCTCCATTGAAAATATTCAAGTAGGGTCTTGAGTCGCCTGGGTGGCTCAGTAGGTTAAGCCTCTGCCTTCGGCTCAGGTCATGATCTCAGGGTCCTGGGACTGAGACCTGTGTCGGGCTCTCTGCTCAGCAGGGAGTCTGCTTCCCCCTCTCTCTCTACCTGTGATCTCTCTCTCTCTCTCTCAAATAAGTAAATAAAATCTTAAAAAAAATTAAAATAAAATATTCAAGTAGGGTCTAGTCATTCCAATCTGAGCCTACTAATAACATCTGTGGTTAAATATTTCATACATATGCCCATTAACATCTTTAGATACTGACAAAATATTTAACATTCATCATTCAAAGCTTCAAAGGATAATTTAATAATTATATCTTAGAAAAGTTATTAAAATAAGGTTTATACTGTATTATGTTTATTTAATGAAGGAAGAAAGTGGTACATCTTGATCAATTTATTACCTTTGTTTCTAGTTTGTCATTTGTATGCTTATGTCCTACTTCATCTTTAAAAACTTGGTTTCGGATCTTTTCCAGAGTAGCTCGGATCTAGAAGAAAAAAATATTTTATTTTTTTTCAAAGGCATTTAATGCCAAATACTTATTTTCTTTATATAAGCTATAGTATACCTGATTTATCTGGAAAGTAATACATAAATACTGATCTCAGATTTAAATAACTGCCATCAACCCGATTTGGATTTGGGCTAATATCGTTTAGATTGCAGAAAATGAACATTTGGTCTTTATAATTCTTTCTCAGTCAAACCCAAAATATAACCTAAGTGAATATTATACTAGAAAATAATTACCACTTAGTAATTAGTATTTAATACTATTTAATTCTATTTTTCCTATGTAGTAATTTAGTACTAATTTACTATTTAGTAATTACTATAAAACAATTACTATTTAGTAATCACTACAAAATAATTACTAGCTAGTAATTACTAGAGAATAATTACTAGCTAGTAATTACTAGCTAGTAATTACTAGAGAATAATTGCTAAGAGGAGATGATACAAATTTATGCACGAAATATAAGCCCCATGTCTTACTGACCTTTAGAATTGCAAAACACTCAAAGATGAATTAATTGATCTGAATAAGTTACCAACTATCTCTGTCCAAATGCTTCCCTCTGTTCTAAGAAACAGTTCCTAAGAATATATACTTTTGTCAGCCATTATCCCTGGATTCTCATAAGATTTCACATTTTTAATGAAGTATCATGCCACCATGGGACACTGGGGAGAGCAACCTAGAACCGTGAAAAGGAAGTGGCTAAGGAGAGACAGAAGCTCAGCGAGACTCGTAAACATCTACTTGGGAACACAGTATCAACACTCATGAAACAACTGAGAAATGATATAAAATGGTAGGAAGTGCAGTGGTGAATGTTGTGGGGAAAATTAAGTGCTGACAGGTGTTCTGAACCTTTCTCGCCCATTATTCACGTTTACTCCACGTGAGGGAACAAAGGTTCATGTCCTCAAGAGAAGTTACTAAACACGTGTTGAAATTTCAGCTATTGAGATTGTCCTTTGCCAAATGTACCTCATAGGTCTATGGAGGGAGAAACAAAGCCCATGGATCCATATTAGATTGCATTTCAAAAAATCATATCACACTAATATGATCCCATGCACCTGCATACCTTTTTCACATATTCAGTTTCTTCAATAATGTGAGCTGATGTGGACTCATACAAGGCAGAATTATCTTCTCTTTTACCCCTTGAGGGGACTTCTGTGGTCCTTGTTACCGTTGTCATTGTGAATTCTGGCTCTGGGGAAACATAAATGGGTTAGACAAAACTAACTTCTTTTTGATGATACGATAACCAAAAGAACTAAAATAAACTAAAATAAGCTCATAAACTAAAAGAAGTCTATATTAGCACTGTAATTAAAATAGTAGAAATAGTATAAATTATTGATAGCTGTATAGTTCATAAATAATTAATTTAATATAGAAATATTAATACATATTAATATTTTATTAAGAATATTTATTAATAATATAAATAATAATACAATAATATAATACAATTAATAATTTATTAATAACATTAATATGTTAATATTAATATAAATATATAATATAAAATATAATTTAATATAAAAACAGTACCAGCATTCATTGATTAGAAGCATAAAAATCAAATTATCTGAGAAGGAAACACATAAAATGTTTCTTTTTATTCCACATCATATTGGACTGTAAAACCTCAAGGCCAGGGACCACATTTTATTCCTCTTTATATTCCAGCACATCATAAGTGCTTAATAAATGATTGTGGAACTAAAACAACATATTACAACAAAATCATATGTACACATCACATATATACATATATAAACAAATATACATATATATCACTTTATCTAACTCTCAATATCCTATAAAGGTCACTTACTGGAGAATTATTTGTAATAGAAAAATGTTGGGAAAAGACAAATACCCACAAAAAGATGACTGGTTAAATATCTTCTCTAGGATGCATTATTCAATTAAAAAAAATGGTACAGAAAAGTATTCATAAAGGATCTATAGCATCGTAATTTCTAAAAGAAGGGAGATGTGGATAGAAGGGGAAAATCTGTGATCTAAGTTTTGACACTGAACAATGTAATTATTTTACCTCATTATAAAATTAAATTAAATTAAAAAGAAAAAATGGAATTCTTCAAGATAAGAAATAAAACAAATGACTGTATCTGTACACCAAGTTGGTGACATATCCACATGAATTATTTGATGTGACTTTAAAACACATGCCAGGGACTACTTATCCCAGGTGTGCTATGCCCTAGGAACAAAAAGAATTGTAAAACAACCATAAACTATACTCACTAATAATATTGTTAGTATTATAGTAATATGGAAATAGTGACGTGGTTACTTCAAAATTAGCATATGTGTACGTGCATACACATGCACGCACCCACAGAAATGCATGATCTAGAATAAAGCCACTGTCTTAACATCATTAAGAACAAGATTCTGAACATAAAGAAAAAGTCCTTACAGTTAGAACAAAAAATATTCTGTAAAAACCTTATAATTCAAACTGAAATGACGAGTAGAAAATAATTATTCATCTTTCCTTAAAAATGCATATTCTAGGTTCAGCAACTCAAAAATTTAGAAATATAAGCAAGTAATGCTCTCAGTGTCCAGACTGTCGTCGCAGTACACCATTTTCTATTAAAAGGAAACCACGGCTTCTTGAGTGATTTAGGTCCAGGACAAGAAATGTACAAGGTAAGCTCGAGATATCTTGTTCTGCCAGAAGGCAAAAAGTGATCAAATACTACTAAGATAAGACACAAAAACCAACCGGACAGAGAAATGACTGCGAAGGATTGGAAAATATAAAGGCTTTTGAAATTACTGATGTCACAGTGAAGGAGAAAAACCACCACCACCAGCAACCATCATCATCCAACTCAATGGAAAGAGGCCACCATTATATGAACATGAGCTCAAAAAAGGGAGTGAGGGGTCACCAACAAGCATTTGTCTTGCCTTTCTTGTATGTATTATATTTCATGGTGACCAGACAGTTGATTCTTCTTTCTAAAGAATTCTTGCTAATAAATCCAAGTGGATTGATGGAAGACGTACATTTTGCAACCACTTATGAGGTAATGGATCTGAACAACAGTCATCAACCAGGGCTAAAATCACTAGGTGAGAGGTTGATGCAGAATGCACTAACCTGGGGAACCTCACTAATCAATGTTGACACAAGTAGAAAGAGACGCCCAGATATTTTGTCCTCTAGGTGTGGTACAACTACAAGTAGAAAGCATCACCTACAAAGTTTGCTTTAAAAAAGAAGAAGAAGTGAACTTGAACCTCATCAAGCCTCTGTATCCAAGGATGGTTAAGTATCTGAACAAGACGAAAATGTTCAAGGACTCTACAAGGGTGAAGGTTGCAATTAGCCACTTCCAAATTATGTGACATCTGTGGGACAAATAACTAGTTCCTTCCACAAATGACATGAAGAAAGATGGGAAGAAGAGAAGGAAAATTGCCATAAATGAAGGGTCTTAAGAAACATGACCAAATGGAAGACAGAAATCTTCTTTGGCTCTTGATTCAAATAAGCCAGTTATATAAAGACATTGTTGAGACAGCTGGGGAGACTTTAAATCTGACTGGGTAACAAATGATGTTAAAGAATTATTGTAATTTCATTAGGTATGATATTAGAATTATGATATTCTTTAGAAAGAACTTCTCCCTTAGTCATACACAGTGAAATATTACATTTGGAATTACTATAGAATGTTCTAGCAGAGAGAAAAAATGCGGTGGGATAAAGATGAAAGAACTTTAGTGAAATGCAGGGAATCATTGAAGCGGATCAAGGGCACGCAGGGTTCACAAGACTCCTGTCTATTCCGGTTCTGTTTGAAATTTCCGTAACAAATAGTAAAGAACTGAAAAGATAAAATAAGTAAAATGAAAAAAGCCCTGTGAGGTAGGGTTATCCGTCTCATCTTACTGATAAGGAAGCCAGCCAGGACTCCCGTAGGTGGTAACTTACCCAATGTCACAGCAAAACTAACAGAGCTGAAACTTAAGCCTTTGTCTTTAGGACAAGTTCAAGGGTGTTTGTATCACATTAAAGCTGGCTTCCCTAGTGAGAAAAAATAAATAAATAAATAAAATTTAGCAATGACCTGGGCTGGTAAAACATGCAAAGAATTTTCATATTTGCTAACATCACTTTAAAACTAGATAGCTACTGGGATAACTCTAAGTCCTGCATTTATCTTTTAATCTTCAATGAAATTGACAGAGGATGCCAAGAATTTTCCATTTTATTATAAATCCTTCTAGACAGCCACAATGGCTTCTCTTTGTGTCGCCTGCAGTCAACGTGGCAGCTGCAATTCAGCAAGTCTGCTTTTATAAAATGTGCCTGCATGTGTCTCTGCTACTTGATCCTAGGAAGTCTCTTCCGGGATGAAGTCCTTGGTCCCAAACAGCGTTTAAATGTAATCCGGAATAAAAGAAACACCCATAGAGACAAGAAGCTATGTGCCTGAAAACCAGAGGGGGACGGTCAAGCTTGAGTGGTAGTCAGCAAACCACGGGAGCCCCATCTGGCTACCCACCTATGTGCACAGCCTGTGAACTAACAATGTTTTAACGATTTTTAATGGTCCAGCATGAACGTGCGCACCAATCCACAAAACCAAAATCAAAACACACACTGCATGAAAATTATATGAAGTTCACATTTCATGCTCCTACATGAAGGTTGGCTCTACAATAACCAGAGTTGCTCATTTACATCCGTTTATGCCGCTTTTGCTTTGGAACAGCAGAGTTGAGAGGTTGCGGCAGAGAAAATCGCGGCAAGCTATGTCTCAAATATTTACTATCTAGCCCTTTACAGAAAAAGTTTGCTGACCCTTGGGTTAGGGGGTGGCAGAGAGTGGGAGCAAAATCTGGGGGTAAAAGGAGGCGAGGAAAACAATCAATTTGGTCTGAATTCTGTTTGGTTCTCCAGTTCCATCCCCCTCACCCACCCCACCCATGCCCATCTGATTGATTTGCCTTCTTTTTTTTTTTTTTCTTTTTAGTATGTTACACACCGTATACATTAACAAATGATAAGAGACATTTCAGCACAGGAATGAATCACTTTCAGAATGCATTCTCACAGTCTTTCATAATTTGAAAATCACCTCGGGACCCATGTTATATTTCCTAAACATTTTCTCTTCTGTGCCTTTTATGCTTAATATCAAGAAAATCTGCTCCTTAGTCACTTGTATTTCTCAAAACATCGTATCTCTTCTACTCACTGGTTTGGCCACCTTAAACAAGTTAACGTAAGATTTTAGCCTCAACTTACCCATATCTGTAAAATAGGGATAAAACATCTAGAGTTGTAAGACTTAGGGTTTTTGTTTTTGTTTTTGTTCTTTGGTTGCAGCAGGCACTCAGTGGACGGTAATGGTTAATACTGTCACTCTATTTTTTTGTATTATTAATAACCACAGAAGACACGCCGCCTGTAACAGAGGGGGCGGTTTATGCCGATCTGGTTGCAAAGTTTATACCCAACTGTATTCAAACGAAATCAAATTCCATTTCTCTCTTTGATTCAGGAAATTTTTGTGATCACAGTCCTTGATTTGTATAAAGAAACCCAAGGGGAACTTAAGCCAGCAAAGTCCAAATTGCCATATGGCTTTACCATCCTGGGGAAAATCCATCTTAGCATTTCATTTCTGCCAGAAGCAGATTAGGCAGATAAAATTTTCAAAATAAAACACAATCAGTTAATTAAAGTGAGAAAAGAATTGTATTTGTTTTATGCTAGAGTGGATTGAAGACAGCTTATAAGTGGCATCATGCCAAGAGGTGTTATTTCCTGGATCAGGGCTTTGCAAACAGGGCTCCCAAAGGAAGGGGCGGTGCGAAGCAGACAGGGCTTTGCCGTCTCAACCTGAACCAAAGCAGTTCTGCTTTGTTCTCTCACACACTGAATTTCTCCATGAGACTCTCTGTGAAGAAAGAACATTCTACAAATGAGAAGGTTTGGAGCCAGACTGCCTTGTTTCATGGCCCGACTCTGCCACTCGGAGCTGTGTGACCACGGGCAAGTTTCTTAACCTCTCTGTGCCTCAGATCCCTTATCAGTTAAATTCAGATAAGATTAATGATTGATAATGATAGAAATAACAAACAACATGGGGCTGCTTGTGAGTCAACATTTTCCCAGCACCTAAGACAGAGCACAGCATATAATAAGTGATGTGTATCTGTTTGCCTAATATGTAAATAAAATATGAATCCATTATCCACAATTATTGCTGGTAAGCGGTCTGAATAGTAGAGAAGAACCAGGTAATATTTTAAACAGTCTGCAGACAGAGCTAGCTTATAAAGGAAAATCTGCTTCTGGAATTTTAAGACTAACAAATCTTTTCCAGTAACACATCAATAATTCATCCACATCCCCAACTGATTATTCTAACATCTAATGAATAGCTTCCGATTTACAAAGCAATTCATACACATTATTTGTAATCTGAGCGAAAAACCAACACATCTTTGGGCACCAAGGATAATGTACTCCTCTGTTTAATGACCTAAGAATGGCTTATCCGTTATACTATAAACACATACAAGGCACTGTTACGGGGTTGAATTGTGGTCCCTCTCCATTCATAAGCTGAAGTTCTAAACACCCTCCCCCCATATCTCAGAATGTGATCTTTTTAGGAAACAGGATCATTACAGATGTAATTAGTTAAGACAAAGCCATCTTGGAGGAGGTGGGTCCCCTAATCCAACATGACTGGTGTTTTATAAATATTTGGACACAGATGCACGCAGAAGAATGCCATGTAAAGTTGAAGGTAGAGATCAAAGTGATGCTTCTGCCTGCCTAGGAACATCCCAAATGGCAAGCAAGTCAAAGAAGTTGGAGGAAAAGCATGGAACAGACCCTTCCTTACAGCCTCAGAAAAGCCCAACCCTGCCCACACCTTGATCTTGGACTTCTGGCCTCCAGAACTGGAAGAAACCAATTACTATGTGTAAGTCACTTAGCCTGTGGTACCTTATTACAGCCATCCTAGGAAATGAATACGGGTATGGTTTATATTCTAGGGCTTCTAACAAAGGTATTTTCTTTTTTTTTTAATTTTTAATTTTTTATTAACATATCACAGCACTCACCATAGCACATACCTTCCCCAATGTCCATATCCCAACCACCCTCTCCCTACCCCCTACCGCCGGCAACCCTCAGTTTGTTTTGTGAGATTAAGAGTATCTTATGGTTTGTCTCCCTCCCGATCCCATCTTGTTCCATTTTTTCCTTCCCTACCCCCCAAACCCCCCACATTGCCTCTCAACTTCTTCATATCAGGGAGATCACATGATAATTGTCTTTCTCTGATCGACTTATTTCATTCAGCGTAATACCCTCTAGCTCCATCCACGTTGTCGCAAATGGCAAGATTTTATTTCTTTTGATGGCTGCATAGGATTCCATTGTATATATATGCCACATCTTCTTTATTCATTCATCTGTTGGTGGACATCTAGGTTCTTTCCCTAGTTTGGCTATTGTGGACATTGCTGCTATAAACACTCAGGTGCACATGCCCCTTTGGATCACTACATTTGTACCTTTAGCATAAATACTTGATAGTGCAATTGCTGGGTCGTAGGGTAGCTCTATTTTCAACTTTTTGAGGAACCTCCATGCTGTTTTCCAGAGTGGCTGCACCAGCTTGCATTCCCACCGACGGTGCAGGAGGGTTCCCAACAAAGGTATTTTCTTCTGTTATTTAATCTTTGATTGATTCATCCATAGACCATTTACGGAATATAGCTATGTTAGGTGCTGGGACCACAGAGGGGTGCCAGACACCCTGCCTTCATGGGACTTTTAGTGCGAAGGGGAGACAGACATCACCCAAAACAGTGAATACAGAGGGAATGTTCTGAGAGGTGAGGACTAGAGTGAAGAAGAAAAATAGAGAAGGGTAACAGAGTAAAACGAGGTGCTGTTCTGGATGGTTCTGGATGGGTGGTGAGGAAAGGCCGTTCTGAAGAGGCGGCATTTAGCAAAAGACTTGAATGAAAGGACGTGATGCTGTGTGGCCACCTGGGAGAAGAAGGATCCAGCAAAGGGGGCAGCAAAAGAAGAGGCTGCAGTTTGCTTAGAGTCCTGTTCTAAGAACAGTAGTTTATAGAATATAGCTTACCACTTTCTTTTTCTTTTAATGTCCCAGGGATTTTTTTGTTTTTTTCTAATATATCGAAACTTGCTAAGACTTCTAGTTTGCCGAAGGAGTTGTCTTGTGTCCGGATGGCAGGAACACCAGGGGAGGCACCTAGTAACCAGTGGCAATGCCAGGACTCTCTCCTACTCTTGTGAAACCCCAATCTTTGCTGAGGTACCAGTACACGGGATTCTCCCATTTCCAAACCAGGAAATTCCTTTTCAGCTGAAGTTCTCCTGAGTCAATGAACTTAACTGACTGGTTTGCAACCAAGAGCCCTGAATGGTGTTAGCACAGTTTCTGAGTTCTGAGCCAACAATACTGAATATCATTTCATCATCATTCTTGGTCACTCTTCTAGAAAGCTTAGATATCAGAAGCTGAAAAAGTGAGTTGCAAGAAAAGTGAACCAGGGTAATTAGGTTATATGAGGGAAAGAACATTAACAGATCTCCAAACCCTTGAAGTGACTGACCGTGTCTTGAATATTAAATAGCACACCTGTTCTGCAACTACATTCTACAGCACAATGGTGACATCCAGTGTCAGACAGCTAAATCTCAGGTGACTATGCATTTTACCTGAAAATGACACACACTGTATCAGAAGACATGCTTGTGAACTCTTAGCTCCAGTAATATGACATTGTTTTCAAGTAGTAATTAAGATTTTTTAAGTAGAATTAATTTTATTCATTTGTGATACTCATTTACATACAAACAAATATTTACAACATAGCCAATGTTATAGAAAGCTCTTAGATAGGAAATAAAAATTATTCCATTTTGAAAAAAGAATTGAAATACTGGCATACACACAGCATACAAATAAATGGGATTGACAGATACTGGGCCATTTACCGAAAAATTGTTTTCTATATATT